TATATTAGAGGAATGGGGAACAGCTCTAATAACACCGATACATAAAAAAGGAGACTACAAAAATTGCAATAATTATAGAGGGATTACGCTACTGAATACCATAACAAAAATAATAGAAAGAATAATTAACAACAAACTCAGGAATAAAATAGAGTCACAACTCTCAGAACCACAAAGTGGGTTCAGGCCCGGAAGAAGCACACAAGACCACATCTTCACAATAAAACAAATAATAGAAAAGAGAAGATCAGAAAACCAAAATATATATTTGGCATTCATAGACCTAGAAAAAGCTTTCGACAAGGTACCAAGAACAGAATTATGGGAGAGTCTGAAAAATAGAAATATCGATGAAAAAACCATAAATATGATTAAAAACATATATAGAAATAATAGAAATTATGTTATCAAGAACAACATGAAATCAGAAGGTTTCAAAACAAAAGAGGGTTTGAGACAAGGTAGATCATTGAGCCCAATGCTTTTCAACATTTTCAACATCTCAGAGGTATTTAGAAAGTTTAAGGTAAAAAATTGAACCGCTTGTTGATGAATTGCCATTAATGGAGTTCGGAAAAATATATTCTCAACAAAACGGGGCTTCGCCTTACAACATTATAATTATTATCACCAATTTTTTGGCTGCAAATTTTGGTAATAATTGGATAGCCAACCAAGGACCCAACCGTTGGCCAACCAGGTCATCGGACCTAACGCCTTTCCACCTCTGGGAGAGGTGGAAAGATCTTATTTTTGAATTGCCGATCAATTCTAGATACGAATTGGAAGCGGCAGTGGTGTAGGAGAAGCTGGTAGACATTTCGAACACCTTCTCTAAAGAAATGAAGGTGTGCGTTTTAAAATCTACATTGAAAAACTAAAAGTCTGTATTCCAAAGAAAGATGATTAGCAAAATATCAAGTGTGTTATATTTTTGGAAAGGTAATTTTAAGTTCTATCGAAATATGTAGGAATATCATATGTAGGAATATGTAATATAAAATAAATAGTTTTCCATCGATAACTATTGATATCCCATTTGAAAAAATAAGTTTTTACACCACTGAATTCTACGTAAAAAAGTTCTTTGGAAATGTTTTCATCGAAACAAGAAATTTTTGACAGGAAAAAAGTTACAGTAACTTCTCGAAAATGCATATGTGGTTTTCACCATCAAGTTTTTCATAAAATTCGATCCTCAGACACAGGCATCAGTTTTCATCTATATAGCTTGAAAACAGGAGTTTCCCTTTAAGAGTGTCCAATTTGGTCCACTCTATACATACTTAGATCAGTTTCCACAGTACATATCTTCAAAGCGTTTTTGCGATACTCGGAAATAAACATCCAGTTTGTGAAGAAGCCCTACGCGAGCACCATAATGAAACTATAAACGCCTGTATTCTCTATCGTGTATGAGAACGAACGCGTGTTTTCGTTGCTTTTGATGTGGCTGTCCAGCTTATCATATTATGTTTTCGTGAAATCTATCTGCGGAGAACATTTCACGTGAAAGTGTTTGACTAAACAGAATTCATATTCCTGGAAAACATGTGGCAGTGATATATTATGAATTGTTTTATGTATGAAACATCCCTGTTCTAGGATGTTTCCAGAAGGCTAGGGACTACTGCACCTGACACGACAACAAATATTAATTGTTTTCGAGCGTAAAATATGTGTAATTTCGATTAGTGTATAGGGAAATTATACTTATACGGAATTAGGTTAAATTACGATTGACTATTTCACAAAAAGTAACACTGAATCCAGTATATGAGTGGTCGTAATACTGAAATAAATCATTTGAAACAACCACTGCGTTTTCTTAAAGTAAATATTACTTAAGAAATTCTCATTTTTTTCTGGGCAAATCTAAACTCCAGAAATGTTCTTATGTTTTTTAAGTTATGTTACTTATGTTTTTACACCACAATATAAAATACAATATAATAGAAGTGGTATAAAAACATAGTAATTTTCCTTTCTTATTTTTCAAAACCTAAGAATATCATTGTATCGAAATGAAAATATTTGACATGACAAAATTTAAAACTGTACAGCAGATGCAAAGAAGACGCGTACTGCTTTTCATNTAGACCCACTGTGATTCGAAAGCGCATATAGATTATAACGATTAGGAGTCACATTGTCTGCTGCATAATTGTTAATATCTATCTAATCTATCTAGAAGAAATTCGATGGCTACATTTAACTTGCCGCTAAATCCTTCTGGTGGAGAGAATCTTTCAAAATGAATGACTGAAATACGGGGAAACTTATTGATTGATAGAGACTGTGCATTTTCTTCTTTCCTTGCAACTCGAATACGTCGGTTTTTTATGTCCATCGAAAGTTTCCTCTCTTGTGAAGACTTCCAAGCATTGTGATAAACTCAATATTAGGATTCTGTTAAATTTGAAACATTATCTATATTGATAACAGATTCGTTCTGTTCATTATTTGAAGTATTGGGTGAAATGAGGCGATATTTATTTTTATGCAAGTGTTTCGAAAGTGATGATCCAAATATACCTTTGTAAAAGGTAGCTGAGGTAAGGATAATTTGAGAAATATTCAAAAAACAATATAAACTATGAGGAACCAAAAATAGACGTAAAAAATGCATTCCAATATCTATGAAAGGGCAATTTAAGTTAATAAATCAAAATATAACAACAGAAGATACGTATTCAAAAAATTAAACGAAGTTCTTGCCCTATTGACCAATCTATATATGATGCTGAAAGAAGTGTTTTGTTCTCACTAATGCACGGTATTCCAGATTAAGTTATTCACACCAAAAGCGAATAACTTTAGCAAGCACGGTCAAATCAGAAATAGACTGATGCTAACGAAACGCACCTAATATCCCAGGATGGGATCCACAAATGTAACATTACTTGTAAAATATTCTTATTTTTATCGAATGGTCTAACAGTAAACCAAACGTTTCTACTCACCTAAACTACTCTACTCTACTGAACAAGTATAGCTGAGGCACCAGTCAATCTAATAATAACACTGATTAATGTGTTCACAACGACACAAACTAAGACCGTTATTAATTCTAGATTCTTATAGATTCTTGAAATTAATTCAAAGAAATCGGTGAACATTCATGCGTTTGAATACATAACCTAAAATAATATTTTATGTCATTGTGATTCACAGCTACCTCCAAATTCACATCACGTTGTAGAATATGCAATTCTGTATCGTCACACGAATAGCGATATTAACGGTATCTAGCGTTATTTTGAAAAAGCAACCCACGTGAATGAAATCGAGTAAGCGATATTGGTCGACAGATATTTCATGTGAATTCTACACAAGTGAGTCGCTAGCAATAAAAAACATTATGTTTCAACTTACAAAGAACATAACGCTCGGAAAATTACTCTATAGCTGAAAAGAAGTCATTCTGAATGGGATCTGAATATACCTCTGGCGCGTAAATTTTACTTCTGCACGAAATGGGAATTTCGGAAGATAGGGGATTATATGAAGTATCAGTTGTGCTTTATGCACCACGCTTTTTATAGACATCTTAGATAAATCCTTGCGCTTCTGTAGCCATGAATATTTAACGAGAAGAACTTATTCTGAACGAATAGATATATCGGCATTGTTCCATAGGAAGGGGAACTGAAAAGGATGGAGCCTATTGATGGATATAAGGGGAAATCGAAGGAAATATGATTGGGTTTTTGTTATGCAGATGAGAACAGAATTTGAAAGGAAAACAGAAATCTCGAATAGATTGATGTAATGATTTTATCAATAAAAAAGAGGAAGAACTATGTATAGAAACACTGTAGGTGTATGAAAAGAGTATTCTTGAAAGATAAGATCCGTGATTCATAAATTAAAACTCTTGACTTGTCACAAAGTTTCTGAATGAAACACGCAATGTTTCTTTGAAAGATTCAGGCAAGACACTTTTGTAATTTTTCCTCTGATTCAAAAATATCGAAAGGGCTTATAGAACTTTCTTTGTTGGTCAAGTAGAAAGTTGAAAAAATAAATACCTACTTCAAGAATCTTTTGCCAAAGATGAATCTTACTATTTTAACCTTATATAGATCTGGCAGGGGTAATATTGGTATATTTTNACTAATTTTTCTATTATTTTCGCAATAGTGGGAATGATGGCAATTGGACGGTAGTTGGCTGAAACTTCGGGGTCCCCTCCTTTAAATAATGGAATTATTACAGAGGTTTTACAGAGGTATTACAGAGGTTTCCTCGTTCGTGAAGAAATCCAAGCATTGTGACAAACTCAATAGGCCAGTTCTTTGTGGTATAGGAAGAGACAAATCCCAGATGAGAATCCACAGTGTGTGCACTTCATAGTAGATTTTAATTGACCAACGAAATTGTCTACAATCTTAGAGTTGTTCATGTTCAAGTATCTCTGCCAGGACTCTTGCGCTTTTCCGATGTCGCTCAATTTTCCGTCAATCTCCGTTAAGATCGGTTAAGGTTTCTCAGTAATTCCATTGAGGTGCTCATGTTAACCTTCTAAAAGATATCGAAGGAATTTCTGGGTGTCTTGATGGGAAGATCCCACGAATCAAATCAATAACCATGGGCGGAACAATTGCTGGTGGACGAAAGTTTCACAGCAAATGACTCCCAGAGACAAGTTTGGAATCTCCGATACTATCTGCATCAAATCTTCCACGAGAGAGTAGATGGACAACATAAAAACAGTCTTGAACTGGTGTGAGCCACAATAAAACTTTTCAGGTTGCAGTAAAGTGTCGAACAGACATACTTTACTAACAAACATTTTCAATAGAAGCCAGTCAAGGTCCCCGATTTATGTTCATAGAGGCGTTTTTATCCGAAACTTCCTTATCACTATCATGTTATTTCCTTTAAAAATCCTGTAAACCAGTTCTAAAACTTTTTTCTAATACAAGTGTAGGGAGCTTTTTTCCAGTTTGTGTCTGAAGATGGAGAAGTAGAAAGCCAAAATCTTTTTTCCCAAAAATTGATCTCTCCTAAAAATGTGGGAGTTTTTTTACTTTGTTTTTTCAGTGAATCATACTGTCAAAGATGTAACGACCGATTTCACTTGGAAAAGAGATAGGCTCTTTGATAAAAATTGTTGCCAGGCCATATTAGATATTTGCAAGGAAAATCCCCAAGCTGTTGTGGAAAGTGTTGAGAGTAAAGAGAAAAGTAAATGGCGTCCGCTACCCTTAGACACAGTGGTAAGTTGAATATCGTCTCCCATCACCTGAGTTAAAAAAAAAGTAATTCTATGATAGAAATTTTTTCAAGGAAATTGTGAGCGTTTTGCCTTTGGAAGGTAAATGATTTGTTTTCTCTAAATGTAGTTTTGGTGCTTATTTGAAACTTATAAATCATATTATATTTAAATTTTTTACATTGAAATGACTTTTAGGAAATGGAAAAAAATGCTTCAAGAAAGCTGAAAATTAATGCTAAAGATGCAATGAAAATTGCCGAAAAATTATATACTCAAGGATTCATTAGTTATCCACGTACTGAAACAAATATCTTTCCTAAGGAACTGAATTTGACGAATTTAGTTGAGCAGCAAAGAGATGATCCAAGATGGGGGCCATTTGCTCAGAGGATTATAAACGAAGGTGGTCCAACTCCCAGACAAGGAAGAAAGTCTGATCAGGTGTGCAGTTTGCATTTTATTTATTCATTTTATCGATATGGCAGCAGCTCAAGAGCTGATTTTACATATACACCTAAAGAATTACATAGCTCATTATCTTTGCACATTATACTCATTTTAGCAACATTAATGTAATAATATAATTTCTATAATTCCATTTTGTAATATAACTTCTGTGTGGCTAGCAATAGTATAAAATGGTATAAAAAAGTGTATTACAAATATAACGGTCTTTCTGACGATAATATAATGTCTGATACAATCTATCAATGATCATAACGATATAATGGAGCATACATGTATGAATCTACTCGGGTTTTAAACTGTTCAATAGAGCCGGATTTCACACAGACGGATGGAAGGCTTTCCCAGATGTTTATTGTTGCGTTTATGAGTCCTCACATTCGCTTGTGTCTGTTCTTTCCTCATTTTCCTTTCATGACCCCTCAGTCTACGGTTTTGGACAACTTTCGGGATTTCGCAAATCCCTAAACTGTACAGGTGATTCATCATCTTGTATATTTCAATTAGTTCATTGCACCATCTTCTTTGCTCCAGGGTTGGAAGATCAAAGATTTTCAACGTTTGTTGGTAATGTGGCGACCAAACCATACTGGCATACTCCATAATCAAAATCAAAATATGCTTTATTGCCCAAGATCTGAACATCTTATTGGCAAAGTCTAGTAAAGTAAAACGTGTATATGGGACAATTAACAAATATGAACTATAAAATTATGCTTAGAGACAAGAGCAGAGTATATGGACAGAACAATATTAAGCCCAGCTGAACAGATACAAATATAAGTACATGAATATTGAATAAATGTAAATATATAATGCTATGTAATAAACATTGATAGCCATTTCGCGTTGATTCCAATAACTTGTTTACACAAAGCAACATGCCAATTACTCGATAAAGCCTTGGTAGAATTCGTCCACACTATAATAGGGCCTTCCAACAAGGAATTCTTTTACTTTCTTTCTGAATTTCTTTTCACTATATATTCGCCTTAAATTAATGGAAAGGTGATTAAATAACTTCTTGCTATTGAAAATAATAGAATTTTGTGTAAGGGCTAGAGTGGTGTTGGAAGGAAAATAATAATAATATTTATTCACGTAGGAAAAAATAATACAGAACAATATAGTAAGAAGATAAAGGTGAATAAATGAGTACTCAATAAGTATTTTTCACATTTGTTTCGAGAAATGAAGTAAGACTGACGTGTACTATAAGTTGTGGTGGTATTAAATTGATTTTTATATTTTATGTGGATAAGACACACTGTTTCCAAAATGAAAAAACATATTGAGGTCAGAATTTTTCGCTTCACAGATAATGGGCGGCATGAATCCCTGTAGCTAGCCTTGCATAAATATCTGATGGATCTTTTTTGTAGAGAGAATACCATATTGAAACGAAATTGTGCAAAATTTCCCCAGAAACAAATTCCATAACGTAAATAGGACTTAATTTAGGCAAAATGAACTGATCTTTTGATAGTAGTGTCTAACTCTCTTGCAACATCTCTCACTGCATGACATCCTGTTGCTAGTCTTTTACATAAGTAGTCGACATGGGAATCATATTTTAGATTTTCATCAATGAAGAGCTCTAAAAATTTGTTTTTCTCCAAATTTTCAATTTTGACATTTTCCAAGTGTACTTCCCCTATGTTACATCTAAACGTGACCACATTTGTTTTGTTGATGTTGAATGATAAAAGATTGGAATCACACCACTTTTTCACCCTTCTTATGTCAACGATGATTTGATCAAGTAAATTTGAGGCAGGATAGTGGTGTCGTCAGGGAAACATGTGAATTTATCACTTATGTCAACATGGACTAAGTCACTGACATAAATGAGAAACAACACCGGTCCCAAAATGGAAACCTTGTGGGACCCCACTGCCAATGAAACGTTCCTCTGATGAAATTCCATCTAATAGAACATTCTGCCGCTACGTCTCCAACTAAAATAATGCAGATCCTCTAAATTCGTAAACTTCTAGCTTGCGAAGAAGTAGCATGTGGTCTACACAATCAAAGGCCTTGGTTAGGTCATAAAACATAGCCGCCGCAGATTATCTTTCATTAAGATTGCTGTACAGATTTTCCAGGAGTGAAAATATGGCGTCTTGTGTACCTTTTGAAGATTGAAAGCCAAACTGGAATAAATTCATTATATTGTTTTTCTCGAGGAAGGATATTACTCGTTTTTTTTTCAGTTTTTCTATAACATTAGATAAGACGGGTAGCAAAGTGATTGGCCTAAAATTAGCTGGGTTGTCAAGATTGCCTCCTTTATGAAGAGGAATGATTGTGGCAATTTTCAGACACGATAGGAACATACCTTTGGAGAATGAGAAATGTATTGCCTCAGCCAACCCACTCAAAGCCGTGTCAGGAAGAGTCATCAGAATTATTAAGGAAATTTGACGTAGGTTCAAGATATGGTAATTTGAATATACATTTCATTATTTTATTTTGCAGTCTCTTGAGAGGATTTATTATTGATAAATTAGCTGTTCCCCAAATTGAAATTAAATATTGTAGATTTGAATATACCAAACAGAAATATATACATTTGAGATATTCTATTCGAATAAAATTTCTAATTCTAAATAATATTCCTAAAATTGGTCCGATTTTTTTTAACATCTCAATATGAGTATTCCAATAAAGACTTTCATCAATGTATAGTCCTAAAAATTTTGTGTTTTGACAATATTTCATCATTTTGTTGTTAACAGCCAAATTCTCTTTGTTTCTGATTTTGTTCTTAATTATCAACATTAAAGAAGATTCATAACTCCAACTCAGTTTATGATAATTCAACCAAGAAGTTAGCAATATAATGTCATTTTTCATGATATTGTAGACTTCTTTAGTATCACTAGAAAAATAAAGCAATGTTGTGTCATCCGCATATAACTTAATATTTCCTTTCAACAATAATTTTGAAACAGAATTTATGTAAATCAAATTATTATTGGTAATATTCCATGTTTTTTTTTTGTTTATTTTTGTTTATTCTTGGGGAGTTCAATTCTGTTGAAGTAATACATGTTTTTGCCATTTTTTATTACTTTTCTATATGTATTCCTATACTTATTGAAATAGTTAATGAAATCAGTATTATCGAAATTTCCATGCATGCATATGCAGTGCTCGCATATTTTTTGCAGATACTTTTATACCTTTTGTAATACAAGGTTTTTTGTTATGTTTTTAAATTTCGAATGGGAAATGCACAATTGATGCATGATATGAGTCTTCAGGATAACTTTCCAGGAACATTTCCGAACTTCATATCAAAATTGAAGTCAAACTTTAATAGTTTCAAACAAAACAATTCAATGACTTTTAATTTACTTTCGACAAAAAGAGTACGGTCTAAAACTTATTGTTGTGTTCGTTTTTTGAAAAAATAAGCGACCTAAGTGCAAATCTGAAAATTACTTTTGAAATAATTTCTATTTTCATTAACCGTACATAATTATAGTAATATACAAAAAGATAAATGAATAACCTTTTATTGAATGAAATGAATGAAATAAAATCTTTTTCAGGCTCATCCTCCGATACACCCAATTAAACTCGCCACAAATTTGACAGGCAATGAGCAGCGACTGTATGAATACATTGTTCGACACTTTCTGGCATGCGTCCATAAAGATGCTAAAGGTTTTGAAACCACTGTCATTGTGGATATAGCTAATGAAAAATTCACTGCCAAGGGGTTGGTTGTTTTGGAAAAAAACTATTTGGATGTTTACATTTATGAAAAGTGGAACGCTAAAGAAATGAATAACTATAGTATTGGCGATACCTTTATTCCCACTGTGTTGGATATTGTGAGTATAAATTGTTTCTCTTCTTCTAGATTTCTGCATCGAAAGCAGCTTAGACAAGTGTTTTATTTCTGTGAAAACAGTTTTTGTTCTCAGATCGTCATTTAACTCATGTATTTAGTAATTGATGAAATATTGAAATTTCAAAACTAAGCGTTCTATCGAAGGTCGAGAGCTCCACGAGCCCACCGAAACTGTTAACCGAAGCTGATTTGATAGCTCTTATGGAAAAGCATGGAATTGGCACAGATGCCACCCATGCCGAGCATATTGATAAAATCAAATCTAGGGAGTATGTAGGTTTGCACGAGAATATGTACTTTGTCCCAGGTATACTCGGAATGGGTTTAGTGGAAGGGTGAGTTGAAAAATATTAGTTAATATAAATTCAAATTGTAGAAAATGCAATAATTCATAACTCATTTTTGGAAAGAAGTATAAAATGTTTCAATTTCCCCCCCTTTTTTTTAACGGCTTTATAAAATGTTAATTCTTCATTTTACTATTTCAGATACAACAATATTGGATTGGAGGTATCATTAGCGAAGCCCGTTCTACGAGCGGAATTCGAAAATGATTTGAAATTGATATGCGATGGTTTGAAAAATCCAGAAGAAGTGAGACAAGAGCAGATAGCAAAATATCGAGCAGTTTTCCAGACGGTGTTGCAAAAATTACAGCTCATCGATGAAAGTCTAGCAAACAGACTAGACGACAGACCTGTTGCCATTGCAAATGATACTGTTAGCAATGAGGAATATAGACCTGCTATGAAATGTCCCAAATGTGGCAACGATATGGTGCTGAGGTGAATTCAGTAGCAATTGAAATATTAAAGTAGAGTAGAGGTGGGAGATGGGTGGTCAAAGCTAACGTTTTTGTTTTTTCACCTATTCCTCGGAAACGGTTGGAATGGATTCGCTTCAAATTAAGAAGAAGGGAAGTGAATTCTCCACAACTTCATAATCATTTTTTTGGAATTCTGAGGTGCTAGATAGAGAGTTTATCAAGAAAATGTTGCAAAAAGTTTTTTTTAATGAACGACTTTCCAAAGAATTTTGTCAAGTGTCAGCTATAAGGCAAATGATTAATTTACAGTAATTCATTTGATGTTTCCTTGAAATGTTTCAAAAATTCTATATGAATTCAAAATAATGGCATAAGGAGGGTAAAATAACAAGTCAATAAAGCATCAAAATACGAGGGTCACCTTTTGAATTTTGACAAAAGTAGGAACAAAGTTTGTTGCAGAAGTGTCTTTAGGTAATGAAATTCGGTGTTCAGTCATCTTATGTCTGACATAGGGATACAAAAAAAGGCTCTAGGCAAAAAATCAGGATAATATGTTCAATAAGTTCATCAATTCGGTATTCTCCTTCAAATAATCAATTGTTAAATGTGCTGTAATAATAATAATATACTTTATTGTCATTAAGAATAAATCTTGTGGACAAAGCTTGTGTAAAATACATACAAATGTAAGTATAGAAATATAAAATGTAAATATAAAACACCAACAAAAAAGTAAAGTTAGAACATACACTATAGTTCAACATCGAAGTTTTGTCTCAACAAGGCTGTGTACAGACTTGTTTAAAAAGATTATCAACACTTATGTAATAGACTTATAAACATATATATACTTATATGTAATATAACTTAAATAAACACACCAATTGCACCAGACAAACAAACATTTATATCCAAACAAGAATATAAACAAGAATCTTATATAACCTAAATTCAAATATTCACATTTTGTCACGTAAATTTATCATTATAGAACTCTTGCAAATTATAATAGGATCTGTTTAAAAAATCTGTTCTGTTAACCGTTAACCAGCTGTCGCACCCCCTACGAACGACAACCCCTTAGAAGTCGAAACTTGTGCGAGCTAAGGATTAACGAGGTCTTACCTTTTAACGTGTGATTCCTAACACGGGTTGGACGATAGCAAGTAAAGATCGATCGTTCAGACTAGGGCTTGAACCACCGACCAACACGGCAGTCAATTCGAGTGAGTGAACAAAGCACCCACGCCGAACCGCTTGGCTACCGACCGAGCATCGTTCTATCAGGCAAAAATGTTTTTACCCTTTTTCTAAACATTTTGTTGGTAAAATTTGCCTGTCTTATATCTGAGGGCAAGGGATTAAACATATTGACCCCATTGTAATAAATAGAAATCCTGACCAAATTTATTGAAGGAATTGGCAATTTCAACGTGCTGGAACGGGTGCTATAAGAATGGCATGAAGCCTCAAATAGGGTCATATTTTTGTAAATTAGGTAAACCGTTTCCAAAATGAACAAAGCAATCACTGTTGAAATCTTTTGCTCAGCGAATTTGTGTTTGCATGAATCACGAGGTTCAATTTTACACATATACCTGATAGCCCGTTTCTGCAGTATCAATACAGACAGAAGTGCTGATGAATTGCATACTCCCCAAAACGGTATTCCATAACGTAGGTGGGATTCAACGAGGGCTTAATACAACGTTCTGGCAGTTTTGATTCCCAAATTTATTGAAGTTACTCTCACTACATAACATCCAGAAAAAAATTTACTTTTAAATTGTTTAATATGCTCAATAAATTTGAGCTTGTTGACAATGTGAATACCTAGAAATTTAGATTGAGTCTCGTTCTTTATCACTAAGTTATCACCAAATGACAGGTAATCAAGAGCACATCGTGATTACCTGTCATTTGGTGTTTGTTTTAGTGATATTGAAAGATAGCAAATTAGCATCCCACCACTCCTTGTTTTTTTCATATCAGTAGATATTCATAGTAGATATTTTTTATCTTCTATGTTGTGAAAGTTTGTGGACGTGAACCATATTTATTGTTCAACTTCTGTAGTTTTATTTTTGTTTTTTAATTATGACTTAGCACATGTACTCAATGTACCAAAGTGTCAAATAAATAAATAAATAAATAAATAAATTGCATTGTGTAAATCATTTGAGTTTTTGTTGTTCCTGTGTGGGAACTGGGACATTTTAAGTTGTTTTTTGTCTATTTTCTTCGAATAGTCTTAGCAAATTCATTGTTCCATACCATTTAGCATTATTGTTCATTAATCCTTTAAAGAAATGGTGGCATATGTCCAGTAGTAAAGCCATGGTTCGTTATCTTTTTGACCACATTTCATCTCCAGATGATATGAAAATGATCAAATTATTATTTTTGTTCACAAAATGAAGTTTGCTCTTCAGTAAATACTTCTATATTTTTTCAGGAATAAAAAAAATGGACCGGGTCAATTTTTATCCTGTAATGGTTATCCAGAATGCCGAAATTCGATCTGGTTTCCAACCACGGTGGAAAAGATAGAAGTTCTAAATGAACATTGTCAATATGTGAGTTATTAATTTTAGTAGAAAATATTATATAGTGTCATATTTGATTTTTTTCAGTGTGGTCCAACATATAAAAAACTCAAGTTGAAGTTCAAGCGAAATCTCTTTCCGGGGGAACCTAATCCAAATGTCTTGTGTATTGGTGGATGTGATATTAATGTTTTAGAAACACTGGATATCAATTTGTCATCGGTTGCTCAAAGTTTGTATACAATTTCTTATTTTCTTAAATTTCTCATTGAAATTTGTTGGTTACAAAATTGTCTATATAATTTTTCTATTCTCATCCGATTAATTTTTTTCCTAAATTTTCAAATGCATACCTATGCTGATGACACCAATCTAATTTTTTTCGCAAAAATTTATGATTTTTTATCTGTTGAACGTTTTTTAAATAATGGTGTGGATGACCTATTGAAAATATCAAGAAATCACTGTTTGAACATCAACCCAAATAAATCATCAGCTATAATTTTTTGTAATAAGAGGGACTGGAATAGGGCCATACATAATTTGTCAATTTTTGTCAATAATCACAAATTGGAATATATCGACAAAATAAAATGCTTGAAGTTGACAATTGATTGCAATTTGAGGTTCATTAGACATGTTAACTGTGTGACCCTGAAAGCATATGGTCTACTAAAACATCTATACCCTCACAGACACTATCTGACTAAACATCTGAAGATTCAACTATGTGATTCACTTATTTTATCAATTTTCAACTATGGTGATATTGCCTATGGCCCGTGCCTTGAGCTAGAAACTTCTTCCAGGATCCAAAAAGTTCAGAATGCCTGTGTCCGATTAATATTATCGCTGAACGAAGAGATCATGCAACAATATTTTTAAACAATCTTGGGTGGCTGAACATGTTAAACAGAAAGAAACATCACCTGTATGCTTCGTTCACAAATTATTGAGAAACCAATGTCCAGATTCCCTCTACTCCAAAATGAATCCACGTCACCAGTATCACTCTAGAAACCTTTGTAACATCAATATGCTCACCCTCCCGCATCACACTATCTTTTTTTTGAACGTTCTTTCTCTTACAGCGCTATAACCGAGTACAACTCATATCCTGATAAATTTAAATTACTATCCTTATCTGAGTTTAAAATTAAAACGAAAGCTATCCTCTTCAGTAAACAATGGATCTGCCTGAATTGAATTGAAATGAATCAAATTGAACCCAATTAAATTATTCAATTAATTTTACTTCATTGTTTTTTTTCACCTACATGTATTTTTGGTTTATAATTTAAAAATCTAGATTAGGTTTTTAAGTTATGCTACTGTATGACACATGTATATAAATATTTTTGGTCGAGTGGTAGAATAGCATAAGCTAAACTCCGCCAAAATAAACATGAGTACCATTTATTATTGTTATTAAATATTTCATTTGAAATTTTCGAAAAAAATGTTATAATGTTTGGTAACATTTTTAATATACTAATCTTATTAAATAATTCAGTGCCACATTGAACTTCAAATATGAGACTCTTTTTTTTGTACCTTGGGAACTGTCTGACTTGTCCATTTAGTCCAAGTCTCCAGAAAACACTGCAGCCTCTTGGGCTTATTGCGTTTATTCTCCCATCTTCTCATGACAACCATTCCATCAGTCTCGTTCCCTGTACTAGTTTGTACAGGTTCCATGTTGGATGTTCGTCATATTCTTCTGGGCGTAATTTTGTACGTCCATATATTGCCTGCCTCCTGTGATTCAGTGCCTCACATTCGCATAAGATGCGTAGAGATGTTTCTATCCCTTCGTTGCATAATCTGCAGCTGAGGTTTCCTTTGTACATTCCCATTTTATTCAGATGTCCTCTAAGCGGACAATGACCGGTTACTAACCCTGTAATTATTCTGAGCCAATACCTACTTTATTGAAGTAGTTCTTCGGTTCTTTACTCGGACGGTTCCCTAATGAAGTTTCTACTGTGTTTGTTGCCAGTACTCTGTGTGCTTCTTATTGGTCCATGTCCTAATCTGGTTTCGTACCAATGATTTTGGTACCCCCAGAGCTGGTTCTGGACCTATATATGAAGTTGATGATCCGTGTCTAGCGCATTCATCAGCTTTATCATTACCTGTGATTCCTGAATGCCCTGGCACCCAGTACAAAGGTAATTTGTTCCTGTTTGCAAGTTCATTCAGTTCTTCATGGCATTCCCAGACGAGTTTTGATGTCACCTTCGGGTTTGTCAGAGCCCCTAGTGCACTCTTGCTGTCTTTAAAAATATTGATCCGCTCATTTCTTTGAGGTCTCAATTTGATAAGCCTTGCACACTGCAAGATAGCATACACTTCCGCATGAAAGACAGATGTGTCTAGTCCTGGCGGATAGATGTAGTTTAGATTTCTATCCGCTCGGTATATTCCCCCATTGTCACAAAGTGTAAGGGAGGTAGATTCAGGAGTGTCTCCAATGCAGCTGTTGGAGTAGTTCTCATTGCTCCCGTCATTCCCAAACATGCAAGTCTTTGCATCTTGCCTAGTTTGTTGATGGAGGTCGCCTGCTTCATCTTTGGCCACCGGACCAGAGATGCGTATGTTATCATGGGTTTAACCACCGTCGTGTTTAGCCAATATACCATGTCTGGTTTTAGCCCCCATGTTTTTCCATAGGTGCGTCTGGCGAGCATCAGTGCTACCTCCGCTTTCCTCTTTATCCTGTCCAAGTGTTGGTTCCAGGTCAGTTTGGAATCTAGAATTACTCCCAAATATTTAACCTCCCCTGACACTTGTATTTCTTCACTTCGAAGTTTTAGAGGTCCGAGACCCTCCGTTTTAGTCCTCTTGGTGAATGCTACTATGGTCGATTTGGATGGGCTTATTTTAAGCCTTTCTTCTTTGGTCCATCTTGTGATAATGTTCAGGGCATGCTACATGCATCCCTTCACTACATTATTGATTTCCCTGGACTAAGATGACTAAGTCGTCTACATAGCCCAGTGCTTTATTCCCATTATGGTCCAAGAGACATAGTAGCTCGTCTATTACAAGGTTCCATAATAGAGGGGATAGAACCCCCCCCCCTGAGGACAGCCCCTTGCTACCCGTGCCACGACTGTTTCTCCCATAATGGTTGATGGGACTCGTTAATTTAATAGAAAATGTCATTTCCGGTTGAGGTCCGAGACCCTCCGTTTTAGTCCTCTTGGTGAATGCTACTATGGTCGATTTGGATGGGCTTATGTTAAGTCCTTCTTCTTCGGTCCATCTTGTTATAATATTCAGGGCCTGCTGTATGCATCCTTTCACTACATTATTGTATTTACCCTGGACTAAGATGACTAAGTCGTCTACATAGCCCAGTGCTTTATTCCCATTATGGTCCAAGAGACATAGTAGCTCGTCCATTACAAGGTTCCATAACAGAGGGGATAGAACCCCTCCCCCTGAGGACAGCCCCTTGCTACCCGTGCCACGACTGTTTCCCCCATAATGGTTGATGGGACTCGTTAATTTAATAGAAATAGAAAAGGGGTACTCAAAAATATGAAATTACTCTAGAAATGATGTACTTTTTATGTGATGGAATTCACCGATACTTGATGAAAATCCATAACGTATTTAAATTACACTATGTAAGATTTTCACTAGACAGTTTACAAAACCGCAAACACTTTCATCTGCATGTTTCTTTTAGGAACTGTGTCAAACAATGGTGATCCTAATCTCCGTAATCAAACCATACTGAACAACACCAATGTGCCTCAACAAAACAATTTCAATAACTTTGTACCTAGAAGTAATCGTGACAGTGGTTACAACGATAGCACAAGTATAACAGAGTCTAATGTTTCGAGGAGTAACAATCAAACAAGAAACAGTTCGTGGATATCTACCGATTTAACGAGAACTAGTCAGTCGAATTCAACGAGAACTCTGAATTTATTGCCAGGACCTTCGCGGACTAGTTCTGGATCCACAGTCCAGGAAGGACATATTGTGTGTGGCTGTAATAACGACGCTAAAATGCTCACCGTGAGAAAAGACGGAGCAAACAAAGGTAACTGATGCGAATTTTGAGTAGTAGTAGTAAACTTTATTTTTGTAATCCTAATATACAATATATAGTTATGTATATATAAATAATTTATACACATATATAATTTTTACAGTACGTCATGTATTATAATTTGATATATTCTAATAATAACTTTTTGAATACTTTTAAGGAACTTACATGTTTTATTTTATCAGGTAACTTATTGAAGCTATCTAGATCTTTAATGAACAATGAATTCATTCCACTCTTATAGTTTGTTCGGGATATATAAAATGTATTACATGTTCACTATTTTGAACTAAATATCTGCTGAGATAGGCTGATTGTATCCCACTCGTAATTTTGAAAATAAAAATCATTCTCAAATAATACAGTCTTTTATGTACCACATGCCACTGAAGAGTATTCAACATAAATTCAATGCATCTCAAAATAATTCTCATACCTCAATTTTGTAGTTTCTGCAACTTTGATTTTGGTTGAATAGATACATCAGAGTGGTACAGTAGTCAAAGTGTGGCCTTATTATGCATTTGTTACATATTAGTATAGCAAAGGTTGATACAGATTTTGGAATTCTAGAGAAAAATACATTTTCTTATATATCTATTTAATGGTATATTCAGCATGCTTATTCAAATTTAATTGATGGTCTATAATAAATCCTAGGTACTTGATTTCATTCACAATTGTGAGTTGATTATTGAATATGCCGATATCAACATTGTTAGTATCAATCTTTATTCGATTCGAATTTGAAGTAACAATCATTGCCTCAAGATTTATTGATATTCAATTTTAGTTTATTCTTTTGTAGATATATTTCGATGCTCTTTAAAGACTTATTGATATTTTGTACAGCTTCTTTTAAATCACAGTTTTTTGTAAATACAAGGGTATCATCAGCAAATAAATTAATATGGTGTGAACTAGGTACATAGTTGATATCATTTATATAAATAATAAATAGCAGTGGCCCCAAAACACTGCCTTGTGGTACACCTATATCATTGATGATTTGATCTGACATTACATTACAAATTTTAATCCTTTGACTTCTTTGCTCAAGATAACTATCTAACCAGTTTAAAGCTTTTCCACTAACACCATAATACTCCAGTTTATTAATTGATGTTTTCCTATTGATTGTTACAAAGGAAAATTTGAAATCTAGAAATATAGCAACAATATATTCTTTCGTATCAATAATTTTTTCCACTGTGTAACTGTTAGTTGTAACGATGTTTCGCATGAGTGATTCTTGCGAAAACCAGACTGATTTTTTATAAATAAATTATTTTCATTAAAGTATGTAACTAGTTGTTCATATACTGCCAGTTCCAGTACTTTCTCAAGTGTTGGAAGACTGTTAATCAAACGAAAATTACTTGCATCACTTGTATTATTTATTTTCGGAATTGGAGTGACTCTACTAACTTTGTACTGGTTTGGAAACAGTCCTGTGGACAAGAAAGTATTTATAAAGTTCAATATTATATGCCCAGGCACATCAAAAGTTTTTTTAAGAATTTACTATTGATAATTTCACTTGTATTTACTTTAGCAAGAGAAAAAATTATTTTACGTGAAATGAAGGGGTTGAAGAGACAGTGTATATCAAACTGTCTTAACAATCTTAGGGTTGTTGTATCAGAAACAAGGGCTACTTTCGTAGCAATCACTAAGCACTGGCAGTCGACAAATAGTATAAATGTCTATCAACTGGAAAACTACAATCTGGTATCTTCCTATTATAGAACAACCAACAAAGCTCACAGTGGTGTGGCACTATATGCCCTTTGTCCCTACAAACTAGTGATTAGGACTGATCTGAACATGTTAAGTGAAGAATATCTGTTTGAATGTACGGCAGCAGAATTCAAAATGAACAATATGCCGTATGTTGTCTTTGTCATATACAAACCCCCAAGTGCAAATTTCTCCCACTTCATCAAAAAAATGGATGTGTTACTGAAGAAGACAAACTTGTGCTGGTCACTGGTGACTTCAATATTGATATCAATCAATCAATTTATTCATTGTAAATGAAACATTACAACGTCGTTATTTCCTTAGTATTAAAATTAAAATACATATACACAGAGATGCACAGTGCATATGCACTTGATGCATAAACCTTGATATTTTCGAGAAGATCGTTTGTGTAGATGATAAACAGAATTGGCCCTAAAATAGAACCTTGGGGCACTCCTTGAGTTACCGGAATTGTCTGAGATAGTGAATTTTTCCACCATGTCGATTGAAAACGATTTGACAGATATGATGAACTCTGATGAAAACCCAAAACATAGAGAAGTTATGAATAATCTACTGAGCTCCTATAACGTGCAAATATCTATCAAAGAACCAACTAGGGTCTTTGATACTTCCTCTGCGTGTCTAGATAACATTAACGTATCCAGTTATGCAACTTATGCATCGAAGGTGTTGAAAACAAATATATCTGATAATTATGCACACTATGTGTGCATACAAGAGCAGATAGTTTTGAACCCTAAAGATAAATTGAAAAGAAACTACAGCAAAAAAAAACTTTGTGATTTTTTACAAATTACTCACAAACGAAACTTGGCTAAAGGTATATGAGGAAGTATCAGTAGACAACGTGTATAATAATTTTATAACGTTACTCTCCACACATTTTAACAAGGCATTTCCTATGAAACAAACTAAAATAAACACTCATATAAAACCACAATGGATAACTGATACAACTGATCTGCAGCAAGCTTAGTAGAGTTTGCTACTCTCTGAAGGAACTCCAAAAAGTCGTCAATCAGACACAATCATGTGCTACGGAATTATATTCTGGGGTGGCACACACTATCAAGAGGTCTTTATAATCCAAAAGAGACCAATTAGAATTCTAGCTGGACTGAGAGTAAATGAATCTTGCAGAGGATATTTCAAAAATCTGAACCTTCTAACAGCTGTATATGTGTTTGAGTGTCTGAACTATGTTTTCAAAAATAAATCACTATCAATACCTTATGGAAATGACCACTCGCACCACACAAGAAATAAGACTATATTCTGCTACCCTCAACATAAAACTACACTCCTAGAAAAAGGCTGTTTTTATGAATGTTGAAAATAAATATAGGACAATGATGAGAGTTTACTCTCTACTTTTCTCGGGTATAAATCGAAAAATGTCGATCCTACGAAAAAAGTTAATTAGGAACAAAATTGTAAGAAATTTGCTGTTATACAACTTTGTTCACTACAATTTTTCTCGTAAAATTGAAAACGTGATAATACAAGGATAAGAATTTACCCCCTCCTGTTCTGGGATACAAATCGAAAAATATCGATCTTACGACAAAATTGATTGATTTTATACAACTTTAATCACAATTTTTCTCGTAAAATTGAAAATAAGCGTGGTAAAAAAATGCTAAGATTTTACCCCCTTCTTTTCTCGGTTATAAATCGAAAAAATTAGGAAGACAATTGTTGGAAATTTAATTTCAGGTAACTTTTGTGATGACTATTTTTTGTGTAAAATTGAAAATAAATGAGATATTCAATAAACAAAAATCAACCCTCAAATTCAAGAAGGCGGATGACGCAACAGGTCAGACAGAGACCCCTTCCACCCCCAAAATTCCGAAAGAAAATTGCAAGTGAAATTTTTTGCGTTGCTGGCCACTTTTTTTGACCTTATTCGACTGGCGTATTTAACGTTTCGATTGCCACTATACCCAGTTAATAATACTGAGCGTGCAATTTAATTTTCGCCGCGATGTATACGAAATATGTTTAAAATATGTTTTTCCTTTAACCAGCTGTCGCACTCCTAGGAATGACAACCCTCAGAAGTCGAAACTTGTGCGAGCTAAGAACTAACGATGTCTTACCTTTTAACGTGTGATTCCTAACACGGGTTAGACGATAGCAAATGACTCACACAATTATAGTTCAACAACAACAGCTCCCCTTTAATAATATAGTTAGGGAGCTAACTAATTTCGTTATTCAATAATCATTTCTGATTATTCTGATAAATTCTCTTCCATATTCTCTGTTTCACTATCACTGTCGTCATTTAAATTAATAATGAATTTATTTCCACCATTAATATGGAAATGTCCAATCTCCATATAGTTAATTGAATGTAGAGAGAAATACTATACCGAAAATTTTCACAACTAAATTCAAACATGATGATCTTGATCTTGACGACACTAACCGAGACGTTATAACAATGAAAGAATTCAAATTGTGTCAAATGTCAAGTATCTGGATGTAATGTTGGACAACTTTCTGAGCTTTATTGGACATTTTGATTAAATTCATAAAAAAACTGAAAAACTTGATATTCTTTCACTCAAATATCTACAGAATTATCAACTGAAACCAAAATCTCCGTTTATACTTCAGTCTTCGTAAATTGAATGTAACAAAAGTTGCAAAATCGTAGTATAATAATTGGCTCATCCCAATAACGACACTTACATGATTTTCTATTGAAAAAAGTCTTTTTTATTTTAAATTAATTTTTATATGTGACAGATTTCTTAATTATTACCTTTATGATTGGGGCCAATTCTGATATTACATATTTAACGGCGTATACTGAAATTTTATCATATACAGATGATTCATTTATATCAAGATTTGAGATAATATCTTCAATTTAATTCAACTCAACAAATAAAAAATTGATCATCGCCCGAAGACTGATAATCGAAACGCCATGAAGTAACTTGACTTAGAATCTCTTAATTTTGATTTTTTTATTTGATTGTTCTATTTTTTACTTGTATAATACTTCACTATAATTTCTTTTTAATATAATTGTTATTTTCAGCTATTCTTTTTAATTTTTATCATTTTCTTTGGTTCTCTTGGGGAGAATTCATCAATTTATATTTTGTCCTCTGCAAAGTAGTCTTGTTCAGATATAATACACTTGTGGCAGCTTTTTTTTTTTTAATCCTCAAAACAGTTCTGATATGCAATGTTTGGTATGTCCT